TGTTTGTTGGGTGCTAAGAAATTGCAAGGAGTATATTTTTATCTCAAATGAGAATCTTCCCCTCACCACATCTTCAATTCCCTGCTGCTTTCTCTTCATCCCTGTTTTCCCACTTCATCACCGCACGTACACACACACACACACGTTTGCTTGCACCGCTTTGCTTTAGAGCCCAATTTCAGGCCCAGAAAAATGAACAACAGACCATATAATGAGACCATGAATTTAATAACGTTGATTCAGCCGGTGCCGATATTTTGTTTGATGTCGAGTTCAAAGCGTTATTGGATTCGATGCTACTGTAGACAAAACATAAGACATGAGGGGCAGATGAATGCTGTGGAACAAACTGTGGGTCAGGAAACGTAAGGAATGCAAGGTTCTGACAGCAGATTCCCTACCGGCACACGGCACAAAAATTTCATGCTGCATCCTTAATTGTGCATTTCCTGTCTGTTTCCTATTGGTCATGTTGTGCGTGTGTGTGTTTGTCTGTCTGTCCAGTGCAGAGCAAGGAAACTCCTGACAGTGAGAGGCAAAACAGGCTTCCTCTCTGAACTGACAGATGTAGGGCTAATGTAGCCCCCAGGATGCACTTTACAAACACACACGGACATATCGCACACACACAAAGACACACTTAACCACACAGCTGAAAGCCAAGCGCCCCAGGAGCCGGTGAAGACTGAAAAGCCGCCCAAATTTGCCAGCTTGACATCTAAAAAGCGGAGACGCGAAGGCTCTCAATTCCCCTCTGCCGAGCTGATGTTTATTCAAGCCTAATGCACTGCTGCATTATTCTATTTTCTCCCCCACCCTCGCTTGCTTCTTCAAACCTGCCTGGTGTTTATTTAGAGTAATTCTCTTCAGATCACAGCAGAAGAAGTGTGTCATCTCCACTGTGTCGTATGATTTCAGCAAGAGGTTAAAAATAACATAAAACACATTCCAAATCTAACTATAACTGTATATTATGTACATAAATAAATATAAAGTCTGAATGTAGTCTTACTGCATTACGGTGTCTATATTATACACTTCCCACTGAAAATGCTGTGTGTTATTGTGTTTTGTTTTTTGTAACATGAATTCAGATGATGAAGCGATGTAATAAAAGCGGTCAGTGGGAAACTGCACAGCTGCTCGTCTTTTACAAAATACATTATGTATGTACAATATATGCTGCTGTAGCTATCATTGGTCTTTTATACATTAAAGTCAAGATGTGATTTACCACTTCCCGTGGCTTTTTCCCTGCTCGACAGAGGCGTTTTAACAGCAACAGCTAATCATGTTTATGCTACAGATGTTGCAGCTGGCAGTTTGCGTTTGTCACATTCACAGTAAATGCCACTGTGGTGTAAATTTGGCTCTTATTTCTAACAGCACCCCCATTGGTGTGACTCCAGCCAAGGCCCTTTGCAGTTCAAAGGTTTCTGTGCAGGTTTTTGGCTGCTGAAGTGCAATTCTGAATGTATTTTCATGTGCCTGGAGGTTAATATGGATCCTCATTAGTCTTAAGTGCAGCTCCTCAAATGTAAAAAGCTAAACACTGAACCAGAGACGCCACAGCTGTTCGAGGCAGAGTGGAACAAGTGTGCAGGGAGGAGGAATGGGGGCAGTTTATAGATATTTTAGCCTCAGGACAGTGACCAGTAGGCAAGTGATTCACTCTGATATTTATTGCAGAGGAAGCTTTAAATCATAAGTGCTTCTGACAAACGACTCCCGGTGGCGTTCAGAGATGATGCTGGTGACCTTGTCTTGCCGCCTTAATGCACCTGAGTCTATTTCCCCTGACAGCAGCAAGAGGGAGACACAAAGTGGTCTGCTTCATTCTGCATCCTACACTTGGAAATAACTGGTAAACACTTACATCTGTCAACATCTGCATCAACGCAGCAGCAGAATAAAGCAGATATGCTGTGCAGTCAAGCACTTGTGAGACCCACAAAACTGTATTTTTAATTCTAGTAAAGACCCTAAAGTTTGTGGAGACTGACTGGTGTGAGTGTGTATAAAAAGTGTGTATAAAATCCTTTATGTGGCGCCCAGTAAAAGCACTATATGGCTTCAATAAAGAGCTGGAACAAACAGAAGGAAATGACAGATACTGTGAATTAAGAGCAAATTTCCTCGTCATTTTGGGGAAAACAAATGGGAAAAGGTGCGTTCATTACTGATGGTGTCATCACTGTGCTGGCACTCGTGCAATCCCTCATCCACAAATTCTGTCATCACTTTGCGGCACACTCGATGTGTAATTTTTTACACGTGTTTGTTTTGCCTACGTTTTAATTGCAGCTTTGAGAAAGAAAGTGTATGAGTGCACTTTGTTGTGTTAACACTGTCAGAATATTGATTTGCAGACTAAAAATTCATCATAGATGTTTACAAGTCAACATCATGGTGACAGTTTTGTCACAGTTGTCGCATTTGGAGCTTTTAAACCACCACGGGTTGAAATTTGACTGTTTTCATATCCGTGATCACTGGGGCGAGAAAAATCATCAGCTGAAGATTATGAGATGCACTAAAATAAAAAGCTCCTTAGGAGGATCTCAGGGGTTACTGACGCGGATCTGTCGACTGCCAAAACTGCCTCCTAGTATCCAACACACACAGGGTGACTCCATCTTGCATGTGTTGTGTTTGGATTGCTCTGTATTCTGGTTGTGTGGTCTTGATAAGGGCTCACTGTATAGTCTAGGACTGATTCTCAGTTTCAAGATTGTATGTAGCATGATTGCATGTAGTGCTGTAATAATGCCTTTTATCTTTTATCAGTATTAATAAATGCATATACAGCAAAAGAGAAATAGGATTGTCGTGCAGGGGTAGCCCGAGGTTCAGTACCAATTAACCTGCCAAAAACAGAATATTTAAGGAACTGCTCTCCTGCAAGGCTCCTGTGCTCTGCTAGACACTGAATGCCTAGAAAGTGTGGAGAAAAAAATAATACCACAGGACTGACAAAAACCTCCAGGATCAGATTTGTTTAAAAGAAGGGGGGAAAAAAAACGTTAAAAAGAACATAAAGATATTTCAAAGTATCTTTTCAGGGCAACTTGTAACACCTACATAAAACTTGCATGATTCCTGGAGGGCAGAAACATATTCATTTGGGATTTTTTTGTGAAAGAATAAGGAGGAAGGAGCAGAAAAAAAATACCATGAGAATCTCATTTCCTCCGCAGCTGCAACGATGGAAAGCTGAAATGGTTCACATAATAAAGGAAATAAAGGAAGTCATTTTCAGTGATTATCTGTCAGCTTTCACTATGTCATATAGACCTGCTTTCTTTATATTTCGTAAAGTGCAGCAGTTCCTTTTTTCTTTCTATTAACGCACCGCATCCTGCATAAAAGCTCTGCTCGCATTGTCTCGTTGGCAAAAACACTTTCATTCATTTTTCATCAGCTCGTTTTTTCATCTCTCTCTGCTCTAATTTTACCATTTTGCTTGAAAATCATACAGCTGCTCCCTTCAGTGCATCTTAATGAGATCTGAGTCAGCAGGGTGTATTCTGCTTCAGCATGCCAGAGCACAGACAGGAATATTTGTGTGACACAGCTGGCATTTCATCCCAGCTCTCTGCCTGGGTTGTACACGGATCATCAGAAGGTCATCAGCATTTTCTTTCTGCCTATGGGCAAAATGAGGTAACACAAGGGAGGCAGAAGTTTCTCCTAATTTATATCGGGTGGGTCATTCTGTAAAGCACTGAGAAAAGCACTGAAATTGGTTAACTTCCAAAAAGGACATCAGTGAACACCCAGAGGACAGCAGAAATGAAATGGGACAAAGATATGCAGATAGGCATGCCTGGAGAGTAGAAAGAGATGTTCTTTAAAGAAAAACTATGAAAAGCTGCCACCTGCTGGATCTGTGGTGAAAGCATGATTTCAGTTAACTTCAGGTGGGCTTGATACTTGTAACAATAATGCTGCTTGGAAAAGGTGAAAACTGGCCAGTGGTATTAATTTGTGGTGTTACTTACATTTTCTTTTTAAAGCTGCAAGTCTGTATTAAACAGTTATGCTGTGAATATCCTCACCTAAGAATCAGTACTGTTTACTGTTTGGTTAATCCAGCTATGAAGAAGTTTTTACTCTAGAGATCCAAGTCAGTGGAGTTATGATGGCTGAAGCAAGTTTGTGTTTGCAAGCACTGAAGTGCAAATTTTGCTTAATCTACTTTTTGGATCTGAGAGTTTAATTTGTATTCGATGTTTTGTGATGTTTCGAAAGAACTGTGTCTTTGCATAAAGGGATGGAAGGCCTTGGTGTCCCCCCATATAAGCTGGAGGAGGTGGTTGGGGAGAGGGAGGTCTGGGCTTCTCTGTTTAAGATACTGCCCCTACGATCCGACCCAGATAAGCAGAAGGATGGATGGATAATAACAATTTTTCATGCCATTTATTGCAGTTGATTAGAAAATCCTGTCAGAACTGAAATGAATTGTTTTCTCTCTCATGCTATATGCAATGCTCACTTTCTACCTGTTTTTTTAAATAATGTATTAATTATATTCCCAGAGCAAATGAAATGATTTAGCTTTGTCCATTGGTTCAACAAACTTTGAAATCATTTTGAATCTGGACAATGATTCTTGATTGTGAAGGAGATCCTTCACAAGAGACAAGGTGGAACATTTAACTTCTGTATTTTTCATTGCACTTTTAACTGTAACACCCCCTCACTTGTCGAGCCCTGATTAACTCACACTGATTTTATTGTTTGGACTTCATCATTACAAGATCACATGGGCAGGTAGGAA